GTTGTCTAATTTTGATTTTCACACCAATTTGAGGCTAACATAAGTTTCTTACTGTATCTACCATTAGCAGATAATACGAACAATATCCTGTGGTAATGTTGGCATGGTGTGAGATTGTCATCAAAGGATAATTTTATATAAAAATAGCAACATAGCACAGCATTACCCAAGAATGTAAATTCGTAGAACATTGTATAAACAATGTACAGCTGGAGAAAACTCTCCATTTAATGTTTTAAAAACCTTTTTTTTATCCTGATAACCAGCTCATGCCTGGTGTAGCGTTAACATTTCCCCATAAAAGCAAAGATCACTCTTTTACGACTTGCTTCAAAGAGAAATAAACAGAAAAATGACTCAGTGCAGGCAAGTTAAAAAAAAACAAAACAAAAAAAAAACATTGTTTCTCAACATTTAATCTCCAAATCTCTTCTCCTACCCCGATTCCCTGGGCCTTAGAGCGACTGATGTCCTGTGACTCAAAGTCCAGCGGCGACTCCAACTCCACCCTGCGGCGGGAGCTGAAGCAGTTCCTCGGCTGGGTGAAGAAGCACGCCTACGGCTGCAGCAGCATGTCCATGAAGCTGTACGACCAGTGGAGGGTGGACATGCAGAAATCGCCAAAAACTCGCAACCAGGTAGGTAAGCATCGCTAATGCCGAGCAGAAAGCATCCGCAAACACACACGTCCTCCATGTAAACCCGAGCGGGCCGTGCACAACATGTCCCGCGTACGCAAACACAAACAAACTGGGAATGATTTTCTAAATGCTGATTTGTAACAGACTGTGTCTTTAATTTAGGTTCTCCAAGGGGATAAGTCGTAGCACATGCCGGCCCTGCAAGCAGAGACGAACTGAACGAATGCAGTTTGTATTTTATTTTTTGTTTGTCTATATGTGTGAATGTGGGAGGAAAAAAAAAAGCGAGAAAGAAAAAAAGCGACTGCATTCTCATATTGGAAATGTAAAAGACAATTTGCTCCAGAAGAAATCCAGAGGGGAATTAAAAAAAAAAAAGTGGGAGACTTCGTTTCTGCATCTTTTCCAGTCGATTTGAGCTCGTCTAAACGGTGGAGCTGTTTTCACTCGTCGCGGACGAGAAAGAAACTACGTGGGCGCAAGCGACATTGTAGCATGAAGATGTCGGACAGCGGTGAAGACATTTGACGTGCATTTGGCCTGAATGTGCACAGGAGAGATGAAAACTAATCCGATTTCCGCTGAAGTGTTGGCTAAAGCGCCTAAACGCGTTGTTAGTGGCATTTGGGGCGCCATCTAGTGGCTAGTCAGCGTCCACTAATTCTCTCTAAATGATCCCTTCTCTCACATCCCAATGTAAAAAGAAACATGAACAGATTATGATTCAGTATTTTAACGAGTGCGTCGCTATGTTAGGTTGATAGTGTGCCAAACTGGTCCACCCAGGATTTGTCTGTTTCTGAGTGCCAGTATGTGACTGATGGTGTTTGTGTCGGCTGCGGAAAGCCTTTATTTTTGTACTAAATTGTACCAGCATATTTAAAGTATAAAGCTATGTTTTATAATTCTTAAGTTAAATTTAGTCAGTAAAGACTGTACAATGACTGAAGTTGTTATCAATCTCTAATTGTGTTCTATAAAAATGTTGACAGAAAAACACGTGGTCTGATTTTTGTGTGTGCGTGCGCATGTGTGTGTGCGGGTGTGTGTGTGTTGAACGCTTGAAATATACACAGTTCAATGCAGATCAATGCAATTCATCACATTCTAATTTCAATTTCTTCCTGCTTAACCCTGTTTAAAAAAAATACTAACATACTGCTGCTTTTAAACTACTAAATTTAGTACATCTTTATTCTATATTGTTATTTCTATGTATGAAATCGAAATATTTGCAAATAAAATATAATTATTTAACTTTCATAATTAATTTGTTGAATTGCTTTGGGAGCAGCATGAATAGCTGTTCTTACAAATAAAAGACGTTTGATCATGTTGTGTTTTTATTTTATTTTACTTTAATAAGTGATGCTCATCTCATTGCCTTGTCAATAAACATTAACTAAAATTTCAAGATGATATTGTGATGGTGCCAAAAATACATTAATGTGTTGTTTGTTTCCATGGTAATACAACTGATCTGAGGTAATAGTGTCTCATTTTTGAATCCCTCCTGGTTTAACGTCACTAAATGATGCAGTTCTGCCACCTGCTGACAGGAAGCGGTACCTGCAGCGTGTCAAAGGTAATTAAGTGTTTTATTCTCTGTTTAATTGAAAACTAAAGGTACATGGACATGGTGGATTGGTTTGCTGCTTTCAGAGGCATGATGTGTTCTTATGAGAAATCCTTTCCAGACTTCACTAATTGATCATTTTAATTTTGTAGCACCATTTATGTTAAACTAAGATTTCGATATTTGATCCTGGCAACATGACTGTTCCTGTTAGTCACTGCAGACTTGGGAGAGAAGCAATAACAATCCTCCTAATGAATCAAATCTGCTTCTCATCCCAGTCCATTGACCCTGATTTGGGTCGACGGACGGGGAGTCTTTGAACACCTCTCAGTGTGCCATTTCATTGTCAGTCTGGGAAACCTGAGACACGGCTTGTGTTTTTCCTGCCCGACCGTGCAACGGATTCATCTCCCTCTGCTGACACATTAGAGTCTTGTTACTGCCTCTGTGACCACTCGGTTACTGCTGCCTGAAACTTTAACCTGGATGAAGCTTTGTCTTAACGCTGGGCTCACTCTCAGGGCTTTACTTACCTTTGTCTTTGCCAAAAGCTAATCCGTTTTGTTGCTCTTCTGCTATCGTTGACAAATGATTCATTTGTAAGACAATGTGAATCTGATTGGTTATTTTCCCATGGATGTTTCTGTATATTTTCAGCATTTTGATTTATTTAAAATGTAAGGTGTATCATCTGGAGATTGTGACAAAAATCAACAGGAGCTAATAATTACTGTAAGAAACGATAGATTTTACAATTCATACAACTAAGATGTTTTCACTATTAAATCTATACTAAAATCAAACCTTAAAGAGCTGTTTTATACATTATTATTTTAAAATATAATTTTACTGAATAAAAAGACATATTCAATATTTTAAAATATAAATCAATTTAAGATATAACTGATAACCACATATGTGTTATTTATAACCTTCTGAATGTATAAATATGCAAATTAAGATAATTTTACTTACTGGGAGGCAACCTCACTTACATTTATTTGAATGGTTTGGAAATCCTTGAATGCCACCTGCTGTAATAAGAAGTTATTTTTAAATTTCCAGGATATTTTGAAGTGAAAAAATGTTCAAGCAGGTGAAAGATCAATTCTGAGCCATTTAGCTGTACTACAAATTGAACACTCAATTTGTAGTACAGCTAAATGGCTAACTTTGACTAACTTTGACTTAAAGTTAGTCAAAGTTAGTCTACAAATTGAACACTCAATTTGTAGTACAGCTAAATTGAGTGTTCAATGAAACACTTAAATGAAAGTTAAATGAAAGTATTAAATGAAAGTATTAAATACAAGCAGGTTGCAAGAACAAAACATGTTAAAAATTGGAATAGGAATAATCTTTCAGTGACATCTGTCCGTCCATCTGTCCATCCATCCATCCAGGTCCTCCGGATGGATGGATGGGTTTCTTAACCTTTCTCGAACGCTGAGTCCCCACCAAGGAATCTAATTTCTTCATGTCCTGAAGCTTATTTTTCAGTCCCGTTTGCAAATCTCCTGTAGGGCGGCGATTCGTAGCAGTGCGAGGCCCCATTCGCCTCCTAAACAAGACACCAAGACAACTGAATCCTTCAGCTTGAGATAGACGGTGACTCCTGACCTCTAGGAAGACGTTTTACTAATCTCTTCATGTCACTTACAAAAAGAAATAAATTCTGTCTCGGTAATAGTGTTAAATCACTTGGTTGGTCTGTATTTCAGAGCCTTAGGAAGGTTATACCGATGCTGTTGCTGCTCTTAGGGGTCTTTTGTTTTTAAATAATTCATGTCAGACTAATTGGTTACTGGAGAATTGTTGACACTGAACAAGCAGCTAAATGCAGCTTTTCTTTCCCTCTGAAATTTGTCCTGAAATTCCAGACATGGACAGGAAGCTGCAGGTATTTCATTACTTCCCTGCTCTGGTATCGACCTCACACTTATCTGACTTAAAGTTAGTCAGCATGTATTGCTCACATGGATGGCGACTCACAAGTCATCGTGCTTTACTCTAATATTGAAAACATGATTTAATGTGGGTCGCAATGCATATTTGTGACTGGCATGATTGTTTTTTTCAGTTTGATTTATCAAACCTCCTTCTCATGTCTTCTTTGTAAGCCTCTGCATCCGCCGTGCTGTTGTGCTTTTTGTTTAAAAACTGTTTTATGTCTTGCAAAAACAAGAATAGACCTTGAATGTGATTTTATGAGACAGAAAAAAAAAACAGAAAACAGTGAAGAAGCAAAATGATACATGAAAATAGCAACAATAAAAAAAGCAACAGTTATATATTATTACTCTGATACCTCTACATAAAATCCAGAACAACCAATCCCCTTCAAATGCAACTAAGTTAATAAACAGAGCCTAAATTTCAGTGTATCAGTTTAATATAATTTAAGTTTAAAAAAACACTATCACCCTGAATATTATAACTAGCATAGTTAAACATGGTGGTGGCAGTGTCATGCAGTGGGGATAGATTTTCTTAAGCAGGAACGATGAAGCTTGACAACAGAAGATGGGTTAAACTCACTCCCATTTTGGGGATAATGGCAGGCGATTCAGATCTAGAAGGACATCTGGAATGCAGTATTTTTCCTTATTAAATAATAAAAACCAAGTATCATTTTTCTCCCCCTCTATTTTGCAAAACCCCCTATATAACCTGGGTGTAACACGGCTGTTAGGTGTCAAAATGCAGAAAATCTCAAGGCTCCTTCCCTTTCATTTCTTTGGATTTCAACCTTATATTTCTCTCAGTGGAGGCGACCATTTGTTCTGCGAGAGCCTCAGAGGAAAGGTGTGGGAAGCAAGTTGCGGACTCTTATGAGCCTGCGGTCAAGATAGGATTTCCTCCGCTCCAGGTCATGAATAATTCAACATGGGAGGCCACGACTCGCCTCGAAAGAGAGCAAAAAGAAAGGATGTGTCTTTCTACCGCAGAAGGAAAGAGGACGAGGCTGGAGGAGCATGGAGGAGGTGGTGAGGAAACGACCAATAATCTCCGCTAGGGAAAGAGGTCAGTAGGAGAAATCTATATGCCTGTGTGTGGGTGTGTGTTTGTTTGTAATACCTTGTGGGGATCATTTTCCTGACGCATACCTTGTGGGAACCTTGTGGGACCAAAACCTGGGGAAACGCTGTTTTTGGGTCAGGGGTTTGATTTAGGACTAAGGTGTGAATTGAGGGGGGGTTAGGGTGAGGCTTAGGCTGTAGAAATGAATGGAAGTCAATGGAAAGTCCCCGTAAAGATAGCCACGCAAAGACGTGTGTGTGTGCGTGTGTGTGTGTCTGTGTGTGTGTGCGTGTGTGTTTGCACCCACATGGGTTGTATTAGGGCCAAACTGGGTTTTGCCGTAAAATCTTTCACAGCATCACAATGTCACTGCTCCATTTCTGATTTGAGATCCTTACGTTGTTTGGAATCCATTTCCAAAACAACAGAGGAAGAATGTTAAAATGCATAACCATAGAAAAATAAGTCAAAGGCCTCCAGATGGGAATGATCAGAAGCAAAGCAGCCGGAGCCACAACTTGCCGGGCGTGGAGGCGGCAGCGACGCTCTGAGCTGGAATCCGTCGCTTCATTTTCACCACTCTCCTCTCCCACCTTTACTCCCGGCCCCACCTGTCAGGACCGGGCCCCGCGCGCTACGCTCTGCCCCCTACAGTCGGATACATTAACCATGACTTCACCAAGCCCAGCAGCCCTGCGTACTCCTTCCACGGCCGCATGAGCACTGCCAGTAAGTTTAAATCTTACTGCATATCTATCAGGACACAACATTTAACAACACATTTAATGATAAAATTAGCAATTTAATGCTCCAGGGTTTTAAAACTATCTATTACAGTGATAACCACTGCAGCAGAATGAGACAAAGGAGCATTTTTTGTATTTTATAGTGATCTCTATTGACTCCAGCCCTGGACCGAGGTACTATGTCGGGGGCAAGCTCACCCGGTTTGGTCGGACCGAGACACCGTCCTACTCCATGTCAGGAAGAGGCAGACGAATCGGGAAGAGAGGTGAAAACAAATCAGGGAAGGCTACGACTCAGGAAAGCATCAGACAAATCACTTTTTTTTTTTCCTCAGGAAACAGAAAGAGGAAGTGGTTTTTACCAGATGTGTAATAGGAAATTGTGTCATTCATGGGATTAGATAACGTATAAATCAGAGAAGCAGACGAGAGGCTTCTGGTAACTCTGGATCGGCTGCAGAGATCCACAGTTCAGGAGATAAACCAGTCAGGCTGTACAACAACAAATCTGTCCTTTGTAAATAAAAAAAAGTGGTAAGAAGAAAGCCGTTGTTGAAAAAGAAGAAGTCCCATTTCAAGACTGCCACCAGACAGGAAGGCGAGACTAAAACGAAAGTTTCTGGCCTACATGCAAAACTCTTCATGTGATGGGAAACAAACACTGCAGATCAAGCCTGAGGACGTTAACTAAGCAGTGAAATGTGGCAGTGGCAGCATCATGCTGTGGGGATGGAAAGATAGACCTACACACAGGGTAATCCTGGAAGAAAAATCACAAAATACTCAATACTGTGCTGAAGGTTCACCAAACCAGCAAAAAAAAAAAAAAAAACAAAAAAAAAACCTAGATCTTGTAATGATTTAGATTAAAGCATATCAGTGTGCAAGAGTGGCCACAGTCAACAGTCCGGCCTTTGACTGGGCCACTCAAGCCCAAGATTTGATAACCAATGTTAAGTGACACCCTGTTCTGACGGAGCTTCTGCTGTTGTTTAAAGACTGTAGATGCACACAGCTGGTATAGAAAAACTAAAACGTCAATTCAGCTTTAAAAAGCAGCAAAATGTGGTTTTACAAATGAAGATGAGGAGAATGCCAATCCATGCTGCACTTTTCAGGAATAAGTTTGCAAAAATAAAGAAAAGGAAACCATGAATAATTTGTCTTCCACTTCACAAACATCCCCACATAATTTGATCCCAGTGAAATACGACGACATCTGAGGCAAAATGTGAAATACTTCTAGAGGTGTGAATATTTTTCTTAAAGACTGTAGCTTCTGAGTTTGTTTTTGTTTTTTCTCACTGGTGAGTGAATCGTCTAAACTCTGTTTTCACGCTCACAGATGAGCCGTTCCAGACTCCGGGTCCGGGGGCCTACAGCCCAGAGCGGGCGCCGCCTCTGAACGCTCACCGCAGGCCTCCGTCCTACACCATCTCCGAGCGGACCAGGTACCGCTCCATGGATCCTGTTCCAGCGCCAAACAGGTGAGAGCAGCACGAGGAAAGCACGGAGGCAAACACAACAGCTATGAGGTAACGTTTGTGCAAAAGCTCACTCCTCTGTTTTCCCTTAGCTGGATTATTTTCAGATTTCATTTCTTTCTGGTTTGGCAACAGTCAAAAGTGGCTTTTAAGTTATTCCATTGATACCAAGCAGCTGGCATAAATTATTATTCATTTCAAATATGGTTCCTCCCAATAAGCGCACAATTGATGACTCTGTAAAAACACTGTTTTGGGAGAAGTTTTTATGTCCTACAATAACACAGCTGCCTTGCATATAATATCTGTTTGAACTGATTAGAGGAGGATTGTGGTTTTGGCATTAATGCAAAATAGTCACCAAACTGTCAGAGAAAAAAATCATCTTGGACTCAAACCATATCCTTCAAAAGTTTATTGTCGCTCAGAAATGTAATCTCCTGAATAATGGGAAACACCTTGGAATATTTTCCCAAGTTAATAGAGGTCCCCTCAACAACCTTATTATTTAACTCAAACGTCGTGTTTCTCTCAACCTGAACAACTTTGTCTCAAATCCACCAGCTACACTCTTCCTGGACTGCTGGGTCCCCAAGTCCCCCACAAACCTGCCAGCGCCAGCTACAGCTTCTCGGGCCGGAGGACAGCCGGCGCTCCGTCCGAGGATCTCTCCAAAACACCGGGACCGGGGCAGTACAGAAGCACCGACCCGGACGTCTACAGGCAGCGACAGCCTTCCTTCACCATGCAGCGCCGGACCAAGAGGATCAGCTACTCCTCTGCTGCTCCGGGTCCGGGAACGTACAGCCCGGAGAAGACATACGGGCATCTCCACAAGTCCCCGTCCTTCAGCATGGGCATCAGGCACTCTGAGTTTGTTACCCCGCTGGTGGTGCATGTGGTCGATTGACTAACCGGACTCTGAAAATACTGTGTGTAATCTTGTTTTTATTCCGATTTAAACGTTCCTTTTTCAGTTCAAGCAATTAACTTTTTTTTTAACAATCGTAAAAAAAATAAAAATAAAAAAAAGATAGAAAAATAAATGGGATTTCTGCACTGTACAAATATTATTAATACATTTTGGCATAAATAAAACGGAACATCAACAACTCTTAGTTGCATTGTTTCTGCAGCTCAGATCATAAATTAAGAACTGAATATTTTCTTGCAACAACCTGCACACATGAAAATGTAAGCGAGGGAAAGTTCCTATAGTTTTGTTGTTGGTATTGTGATTTTTACAGGTGAACTCCAGTCGCTGCACTGGCCCAGGCCCAGCATTTCCTTAGCACACACCTGGAACTGGTAGGTCCTCCCTGGGATCAGCCCCTTCAGCTCGGCCTTGGTGTTCTCAAACGGACCCAGCTGAAGAGGAAGAAGAACAAGTCAGTCAGAAAGTGTCAGATAAAATCAAGGCATTTCTCTGCTGTAACACATGTGGTCTTGTTATGTTGCACAAACAGATCTTAGACTGATCTGCGTCAGCACATAATCACATATCAAGAATCGAAACTGAAACTGCTTTTGTACAGGAAAAATTGGGACTTTCTGATAGAGGCAGGCTCAACTTAGTGCTTCAGCCTTTTTATTTTTATATATATGATGATTTGACTAGACCACTGACCATGTCAAAATGGGAAAGTGTTCACTTTTTATTTGAGTCTTTCTAACTCTGAGGTTTCTCCTGAGTTTCTTGATGGTTTATTACCGATCTAGTACATTAAAATGGGTTTTAGTATTCCTTCAATGACTTATGAGTATCTGATTTAGGTTTGTTATGATTCTTATTTTATTAAATGAAGCGAATGTAGTGAAGCAGCATCACTCTTCATTCCGGATCCATACCGCCAGAAGATGAACAGCAAAATGAGAGAAAATGGAAAGCAACAAATTTTCTGGAATGGGATTTCCAGAAATTTTGAAAAATCACACTAAATATCTCTCACAAAATCACCAGTGACACAGCTGTGGGCAATCATTTTGGTCTTTTTCTTTATATAATTAACCAAATATATAAAAAACTAAAAGTCACAGAGTTAGTTAATAACAGAGTTATTAAATATATGTTACTACAAGCTAATGGATTTGAGTCCACATCCTTCCCCTTTTAGTTTTACTTTTTTTTTTTGGTGAATAAATTTGTTGTGCCACATTGTGTTCATTTTTAAGAGTTGAGGATGTAACGTCATATTTCAACACTTTCCTTCGCTGTTTAGTAATTTGTTTTAAACCTACTGGACTCGGCTTTGTTTGCCAAGTTTGCACACACAGAAAAATGTATTTAACTTCTGTCCCAAGTTGTTAATGTGCTGACATTTTACATAAGTGTAACCCCTCAAGTTATATATACTCTATATACTCTTTTCTCCTACGCACCTTAAACATTTTCTTAAATACAATGTACTGTAGGCCTTTTCACCTTAAGCAGTGTTAGTTGCCTTTTACTTAACCTAATAGTTTTACACTCACATATTGGAGGCTTTACTCACTGTAAAAGTCCTTAACATTATAGTACGCACAAGTATTTTCCGTTGGCTTAAAACACGCAGTAAATGTAGCGTTTCGTTAGTAACTGTTATTTACTACCGCCAGTAAATGCATCGTTTTTACTTGTCTCTACCTTACTGGTCAGTCAAGGGTAAAATAAAGTTTAAGCAATTTGATTGGCTGTGATGGACTGGGGCGAGAACTGCACTGGAGGTGTACGTGCCCGCTGCTACGTACTGGCAGTTGGTCGGCATCCGTTCATGGACGAGCTTGGATCTATACCGCTGTGGACTGTTATTTTTTTAGCTAACCAGTTGGAGCTACGAACTTTTCCCTGGACATTTTGCCTGTTTTTTGAGGCCACAGAACCGGACCGCGCTCAACGTCTTGCTTGGATTTTGGAGCTGCAGACCCGAACCACGCTCGTGAGCCGGAAAGGACTGTTGGACTGGAGTTGGAGCCGTTTTATTACCGTTCGTTTAAAACTGGTAATCCATGGTGGGGTGAGTAACCCATTCCTCGTGCTTGTTCTGGGAGCCGCCATCTTTGGAACTGCTGTTCCGAGGACAAATGCTAACGGAGTCCCTTCAGGCCTGCAACGTTTGTAAAGCTAACTGACTGCTTTACTAATTCAAGAGACTGAATGGTGTAGTTGATACATTTAGCCTTGTTTGCTTATTTTTATTTATGTGTCCTGTTTAAAGGGTTGTTTTGTACAGTTCTGAGACAGAGCAGTTGCACTAAGTGTGCTAAATGCTGAAAGTTAACTGTGCTCTGTTAAGGTGCATTGGCCAGTACGGTTTATTAAACTGTTACGTTTTCAACTTTACCATTTTACCTTCCTTATTTTAGTATAAGGTTAAAGTTGCACTGCATTTAGATCTTAGCTGTAGAACTCTTAGCCTTGCTATTGTGCTCAGTTACGCACTCTATTTACAATTAAGACGCTTATTTCTCCTTGTGAAGTATTTGATAGAGTTTTTGACAGATGCTCAGAGAAAATCTGACGCATCTATTCATTTGTGGATTTAAAAGACTTTTCTAAGACGGTTGACGGAAATCGAATAATTATTCACAAAACACAGACGCAACTAAAGCTTCCTATTTTTGTCTTCTACTTTCTCAAGATGGCTGTGTAATTGTCTCAACCACAGGTTTAGCAAAATATTACAAAACTGAGCAAGTCTGTGGATTTTGGAAATGAAGGGAATTTTAGAAGCTCATGAGGTTGCCTTGAGGCAACTTCAACTTCTACAAAAGATATGTGTCAACACGTTGCTGTCTTTTACTCAGCATGTGATGATGATGTGTTTTTTTTTCCCCCCTTACGTTGTTAAACTTTGGGCTGCCCCTGATTTCCCACTGGTACAGTATCTGGTACTTCAGAGGGAAGATGTCGGTGATTGTCCAGGTGGGAGGAGGAGACCACTCCACCAGCACGTGTTTGGTAGCAAGAGGGGAAACCCGGACATCTACAGGAGGATCTGGTTTCACTGTGGAGAGAGACGAGTCTTGAAATTTCATGGATGATCGATAAAGATGGCCTGTTTCATGGTATGACCTAAATATGATAGAAAGTATTAAAACGTCTACTTTTGTTTTTGTCTTCAGATGGAGCATAAACTTGTCAGACACAGCAAAAAATGTTCCCTCTCACCAATATCCTCCAGCATGAAACTTGATAGATGAAAGCTGCTTCCCCCAGAATGAACGGCTGTGATGTTGAGAATGTATTCAGTGAGAAGTTTCAGGTTGGGCAAGTGACAGTGCCAGAGCTGCAAAACAAAAGAAAAAAGAAATGTATTTGGAACTGTGACGATTTGATGCAACGCTCTGTCTACAGCTGAGAGTTGAGATAGACATTTATATATATAAAAAAACAGAAAAGAAATTTTTTTATATTTCATTTACTTTCTGGAGTTTACATATATTTCTCTAATATTTGGCAGAATTGCTTTTTAAACTACATGAGCTGGGTAAAGCATTTTTGGGAATCGGTCAAAAACATTCTCGACGCAGTTTTCTGTAATTTTGGCCCATTCCTCTTGATGTTAGCAGCCTTGTTTCACAAACCTTTTCAGCTTTTTCCATAACCTGTCTATTAAACTGAATCAGGGCTTTGCGGTGGTCACCCTAAAACATTGACTTGAAGCTGTTTTATGGACCCTCAGAATTCCCAAAACTTTTAATCAAAAATCTGATGAGGAATTTTTTTTTTTTTTTTTTTTTTTGACTCTGGGAATTTTTGGGAAATTATTTCAACTCTGTGATCCTGTGGTAGAATGTAATGCTCTCTGCAGATGAACAGGCCTGTTTGGGTTTCATTTAATCTAAGAACAGCTGTGAAAACCCCCTGATCTGCTGCTACCTGCTCAGACAGTGAAGGCGGAGGTTCTGTGGTCAGAGCGGAGGATGAAGAGCCAGGCGGGACCAAGTGGCACGTCTTGGGGTCAGCGTTACCGTCTCGCTCACTGTCAGGAGGAAATATTCATATACCTGAGGATTTATCCTATTTTTTAATATTTTTTCTTTGCTGGAAGAGCCAAAACATGGTTGTGGTCTACCTGTAGGTAGCGATGTACTGTGTTGGATGGGAGGGCAGAGGTTCTGGCCAGGAGCAAAACGTCACATTGGGATAGCTGGAACACCAGCAGTGCACCTTGGGAGTGGAGGGAGGATCTGAACCAGAAAAAAAACAAAACAGATTTTAGTCTTTTTCCATCAGCAAACCCCCTGGTATGGTTTCTATTTTTCATTCTCTTTCTGTTTGCCTTATGTTGCAACATAAGGGTTTTGTTTAACTCAAAGCTACTACGTAGAAAATCCACAAGAAGAAGACACAAAGGACATTTTTAATTATTTAATGAGGTACAAACTAGAAAACTGCAAATCATTCCCTAAATCTAGATGCTGGGCAGGTTTGTATTGCGAGCAGAAAAATTTGTCTGTTTTTAGCAAACGATGGGTCACAAATTGTGAATTTTTTGGGTAATTTTCATTAAATCTCTCAAGAATTACAACATAGGAAACAATGATTTAGTGAGCTACTCTGTATAATAATGTCAGAAGAATGCCTTAATCATTTTAGTTTACACTAGAGAACTAGCTAGTGCTATGTAGTTAGCACTAGCTAACACTAGCTCTGCTGAACATAAAGAATTGGTCATAAAACAGTAGAAAGAGGTTGAGAAGGTACATTTACTTTGAGTTTGTCTTGTGATTGTTTGGCAATCATTTTTTTACCTGCACTGGTTTAATTATTAATGCAACTTATCAGTTTTTACTAAAATACAGTGTGACAGCATGAATTTTGGCACACAATCTACAACACAAAGACAATTTGTTGAGGTTTTTGTCTTTATTCTTGTCTAATCTGATTTTATGAGATAAAAACAGTTTTTACTAAAATATTACCTTTTCAGTATGTAAGATCATAGTGTTTTTTTTTCTCCTTTGACTCTTATATTGTAGGAAAACAAAGTGCCATGGGAAATTAAGGTTGTGGCATTGTGTGTAGCATACACTGCCAAATACATAAACAGTTTAAATGCATAAACAGTATGATCACAAGACAAGCTAGAACACTACATATTCATTTGAACAACAATATCAAAACTTAATCCTAACCCACAGAGAAATAACAATGTTTCTGTGGTGACCCTTTGTAAAGTTCTTGCTACATCACACACAATATTTTATCCATCAGATCCAGACTCACCTCCTAAAACTGAAGTTGCTTTGAGAAGATCCAGAGCTTGACTTCCAACACCCAAAATGAGGATGATAGTTGTGATGTACACAGTCCCAGCCATCAATATATCCACAGTTTTTGCCTAAATAGTTTAATAAATATGAATTACTTTCTCTATGCCCTATGCTTGCTGGTAGTTTTATGTTCTGCTGTTCTCCTCAGCCCAACGTGGAGATAAGAGATAATGCTGCCTCACCAGCGTTTCTTTTTCTTCTCTGCTCAAGCAGCAGCATGTTTTTTCTTTTAATACGACTGAGAAAGAGAAAGAGGAAATAAAACCTGCGGCTTATCTCAGGAAATCCACAAGGAAAGAAGGTTTCTTTACGTCACAGTAAGGAGGTCACAAACATTTTATTAATGTATTTGACATTAGATAAAGAAAACATACGAATATTTACAAGCTACAGTTCGTTTAAAACGATAGAAAGACCCTGTGACATCATCGCCTGTACTCTCAGGTACTTCTCCGTCCAGATGAATGTTATCGGCGCACACACGCACTCCAGCCATTCAAACGTTTTATGTATTGTCTTTGTGAGGCCATGACAGTTTCTTAGGAGTCCATCCTGAGATGGAGGAGCTGTGGAGGTTCCAGTTCAGGGTGGGGAGGCCCTCTCGGTGCATGGCAATGCCATGGTGTCCCCCCGCCCCGGTGGTCCGCAGCGACGTCAAGGCCTTGCTGATCCAGTTGTTTTTTGCTTCCTGGAGATCGTTGGCTAGGACTCCCTTCTGGTGCTCCAGCTCCTACGAAAGAAGATGCGTACAAAGCACAATGAAAATGCTGTTGACTTTTTTTTTTTTAAGAGAAAATAAGTTAGTCAAAACAAATGTATACACATCTACAGCTCTGGAGAAAATTAAGAACCCACTGAAAATGATCAGTTTCTCTGATTTGACCTTTTATAGGTTTATGTTTGAGTAAAATAAGCATTGTTTTTCTATCCTATGAACCACTGACATGTCTCTGAAATTCCAAGCAAAGATTTTGTATTTATTTGCAGAAAATTAAAAATGGTCAAAATTAACAGACCCCCAAATAATGCAAAGAAAAGAAGTTAGAAACAACAATACTAATGTCTTAACATTAGTATTATGTAAAAAGCATACATTGATTCCTGGAAATTAAACAATTTCCTGGAAAACTGTGAAAATTATTTCTGGAAATCAGAGACATTTACTGTAGTTCATCTTTGACAGTGTCAGGATTTCTGGCTCAAACCCTGACTAAGGTGAAACTATCAACTTCCTCTCTTGGTTTTCTTATGTTGCTGCAACACCATGAAAAGACTACATCTCTCTAGCAGATTATAGAATTACTTTTCTTTGTGTTTGCGTCTTAAGGCTTTCCTTCATTATGTTTGGTTACATTACGTCAGATTTTGACCCGGATTGTTGATGTTTCTGTGTAAAGTGATTGTGTGACCGTTAGTGACTTTGTGAGATTGTCATGGTACTTTAACCCTCTAGCTAGCTGTTAGCCTTCCACTTCTCTGCACTTTGTCATCTTCCTACAGCAGATAAGGTGAATATTTCTGATAAGAATCCAAACTAGTCCTTGAACAGGAGTCCACCTTCCAGAATATTTATTCTCTATCAGCAGCAACTTTTGTGTTTCTATCTGCGGAGTGGAAATGTGGAAAAAGCGTCAGTGTGGAAACACAGGAATGCCCAAACGTCACCATCTCATGGCCAATGATGAATCCACCAACGTGACGAAACAACCGTTTTGAGACAGAGGAACTGGACAAGATTACAAGAAATTTCCACTTCTTCCTATTGCATTTCAGAAACCCTGTTGGGGTTTTATACTGCAATCTGTGTAAAATCTCTTATTGGCCAGGTCACATTGGAAAAGAGGCTTTTAATCTCACTAAGTTATTTTTCATGTTTAAATAAAAGATGCACACACATATATATTATAATTATTTTTTTTTTGGTTATTTTAGATTATAGCTTTATTTCTTTTACTGGTTTTATATTTTTTGACCATATTTGAAGCAAACTAATAAAATAAACCAACATAAACAGCCCTTCCTTATTACGAGTAATGGGTTGATTTTTACTGCTCATGTGGCTATTATATATGATATTAATATATATATATATATTATATATGATATATTATATTTCATATCTTTACAAACAACCAATTCTGTCTTTAAAGGGGCGGTAACATGTATTTTCCAGGCACATAGTGCCATTTTACCGCACAATTAAGTAACTACAGGATGGGCCTTAAGTTTCCATCTTTAAGAGAATGTAAAATGTATATTTCTGTTATATTTCAGATACCCAAGAAGATCCGTTTGACAAAAGAGCAAAGAACTGAAATTATACTGATTGCTGGATCGGGAAGCAGTCGCATGGTTGCACGAAACTTTAACAGGAAACATGGAACGAGCATCACACACACACACACGACACTGTGGCTAAACTTATTTGTAAGTTTCAGAAAACTGGAAATGGAGTCCCACAAGAATAAAAACGGTTGTCCACTATAAGATGTTTATATTTACGCATGGAAACTTATGGCCCACCCTCTATATCACCCTCAGTTATAAATTATGTCAAACATGAAATAAA